AAAGAATCCTTCAAAGAATCAATTCCCTGTATGGAAATAACAATAATAATATTAAAGTGTGTTGCTAAGGACCCACTGGTCAGTGCTGAAGCAAAATGGCATCCTGGCCTCTTACTAAAGGATACAGTGGCCCTGCCTTACCTTACCTGAGGGTAAGGCCAAACCCTAGCCCACACACCTGGAGGGTGGGCTCAGGTCTCCCTGGAGTACAGCTATGCCCTGTGTTTGTGAGCCCTGGAGAGTTGGCTCCAACAGGAACTAGAGACCTGGAAGAGATTACGTGGATGAGACCTGGTTCACCCTCTGAGGAGGGAGCTCTGGGTGGCAGAAAGATGTGGTCTCTGCTTTGGAAGGAAGTTGAAGACAAATCAACTAGCTTTCTGCTCTCTCCCACCACTTGGTGACTGTTTATTTCCCTTCTATCATCTTCAAGCTTTGGTGACTCACTGTCCACAGAGATTGGCCTCTCCCAAGGATGAAATTTAAGGCAGAGCTAATCCCCTTTTAGACTGCAGGTTATAGAGAAGAGCCCCCTCATTCAAGGAGAACCTCCATTCCAGGGCAGATGACTCACCACCCACATCCCCAGGGAGCGGATTCATTCTCCCTGGGTCCTGGAGAATCCCATATTGACTTTATCAGGGAGAGCATCGGCATTCACTTTACATGTTCAACAGGATCTATTGGTTAATAAGATGCAATTATCTTGCTTGAAATAGACAAGGACAGATGGGCATGGATGGTGCTGCACAACACCTTCAGTCAGGTCTCTGATCTACAGAAAGTATCTTCTTGGCAACACAGGTCAGCATGGATGTCACAGCTGTCTGGCCTTGGCCAGGCCTGCACAGATGTCTTGGGCAGCTCTAAGGCAAGAGCAAACTGGAAGGCTCTCCTGCTTCTGCTCTGTCTGCCGGACCAGCTCCTGTGATGACTGGCTGGGAAACCTTCCTGCTTCTTTCTGTCCACCTTGCTAGGAGTCCCAATGACACAAACACCCAGAATCAGGTACAGATGGAGGGCAGGGATCCACTGCCAACCCTGGCAACCTGAGGACTCTGTTGCCAGCAGAGCCATCTAAGCTGCTGCTACCTCTGACGAGGCTGCTTCTGGATTCACCCACCCAACCACGGCTCCATCTGGGCAGTTGGGAGAGGGGAGAGAGGATTTCAAATAGGCAACCATTGTGGAGACTTCACATATCTGCACAACTCCACACAGTGTGATAAGGGCTTTCTCACCTTCATCTGACCTTCACCTGGGGAGCGCTTATCCCCAAGATAATGAGAAACTGAGGCTCCAGGAGTGAGAGAAATATGCCTGATGTTACCCAATAAAAAGTGGCTCAGTCCCATACCCCTGTGCGAGAGCTGACTCTAGAATCAGTACTCTTCCCAAGGTTACAGAGGGCTTCTATGCATTTCAAAGAAAAGAACAAAATCGGGG